GTCTTGATGTTCCAATTCTTATTACTTTTAGAGACAAGAGACATCTCAATTTTGAAAATTCATTACTTTCACTTCTTGAATCAAATCTTAAAAGTGGTCCAGTATTTTCAAATTGTTATCCAAATTTTTCAATCAAATTTACTAATGGAGCAATTCTTAATTCTCTCAATCTTCATATTCAAACTAAAAAGCTTGAATTTGATAGTAGATCAAATTCTTTTGCTATAATATACAAAGTATATCATAAGCTTATGAATACTCAACTCAATATTGGAGCTCTTCATTCTTCACCAAGAGATGAAAGTCTTTTAGTTGAAATTAATCCTTTCCACTTAAATTAGAATAATTCCAAATCAAATTCTTACTTTTCCAGATGGAAAAGCTAAGATTCTCTTTCAAGGTTCATCCTCAAAGATTCAAAGATCTTATTCTGCTAAATCTTTTTCTACTAGGTCCAAAGAGAAATGTAGATCATCTTTCCAATCTTCATATAAAGGAGCAGATTTTACTCCTATTATTCCAAAACCTCATTATCAAAATGAATATGAAAAAGATGATGATCAACCAGAATATCCAACTTTTTCAAATATGGTTCCTCCCTCCAATCTTGATAATCAATGTAATGTTATTTCTTTTGAAATTGACAGAAGAAAAGAATTCAAATGTGACCAAGACGTGTCAAAACTTTTAGAAGACTCTTTCGAGAAAGTTTTTCTTCAAAACAAAAAGAATCTTATTGGGAAGATTATTTTAAATCTTTTACTGATTTAAGTTTTTATTATTGGATTCAATGTAAAGTTTTTTGTAAAAAGTCAGAAAAAAACAAAAATTTTTACTTCAAAAACTCAAATCAATACTTGGAAAACTCCTGAAGGAAATGTTTTCCAATCAACTCATCCTCCTATGCAAGAAATAGTTATTTTTCATAGAAAAATTGAAATCCTACTTCTCCACTCAAAAGGATTCCTAAAAAACGATCTAATGAATCTCAGATTGTTATTAAGGATATAAAAAATATTCAATCTCAGAACAATTATACTAATGTTGTTCTTCAATTTATGTGTTCTCAGCTCAATCGAATCGAAGCAAATTCTAAATCTGAGAATATTACTTCTCAAAAAGATTCTTCAAAAGAGTCTAGAGAAAGTAATAGTAAAGATAAGAATTTATCAAAACCATCATCCTCTTCCTCTTCAATTTTTAAAAGCAATGATATTATTGCTCAATTTGGAAAACCTTCCACTCTTCAAACTGAAAGTGAAATTTTTTCTGAACTCGCCAATCAATTAAAAAAATTTCATGTTTCGAAAAATATCAATACTATTGATGAGATAGAATCTCAATTTATTGATGAAAAATTTGATTCAATCAATAAATTAAGAAAATCTGATTATCAAAATATTCCAAAACTTTATCATCGTCCCTCATTCCCAGACCAACTTTTTGAAGAAAAAGCTAATCCTCAAATATCATATGATGGTAATTCCGGTGTAGAATGGAATCTCGATGGACTTACCGAATATCAAATTATCAATTTTCTGGAACAAATGACCATGTGTTATAGAACTTATCTTGCAAAAAACACTTCAAGAAGAGATGCTACCAATAATATTGTTCTTGGATTCACTGGACAGCTTGATTAATGGTGGGATAATTATCTTTCTCAAACTGAGATAGACATTATCTTTTCTGCTGTTAAACGTGATGAAAATAATATTATTATTCATGATGAAAATGGAAATGAGATTAGTGATAGTTTTATCATTCTTGGTCTAACTATTATGAAACATTTTATTGGTACTCCAGAAAATATTGTTCAAATGCAAAATAATATTTTAATAAATTTAAGATGTCCAAAACTACAAGATTTTCGATAGTATAATGATATGTTTTTATGGCCCAGGGAAAGGATAAAACAAAAAACAGAAAATAAATAAGAGATTATTAAACAAAGAATATTCTTATTGATAAAGCTTTGATTACACAATTGAGAATATAAGAATGTGTAGAAAACAAACTTCTATTTCAAATTCGCTTTGTCTTGAAGTGAAGAAAGGCCTTTCTTCTTATAGAAAAATCTGGATTTCAAACAAATCTTCATTTTGGAATAGGGTTGGACAAATCTCCCGAACCGAACCGAACCAACCGAATCGAACTCGAACCGAACCCGACGGTTCTTGTCAAATTAAATACTCGAACGGGTATCTGAATTGAGAACCGACGGGTACGATTCAGATTTCGATTTTAGATCAAGAACCGAAGAACCAAATAAGAACCGAATTTTTCTAATTTTTTTTATATTGAGTAAATCAAATTATTTTAATTTTAATTTTTTCTAAACAAATTAACAATTTCTAAATCCAAATTTTTCACCCAATAATTTGTTTTATTTCTAATTTTTTTAATTTTTGGCCCCATTATCCATTTTATTGTTTCATTTCTTAACCCAACAAGATCCAATCCACTAAATAACCCTAAACACCTACACTAAAGTGCATAACGTTGTCTCGACTCTCGCACTCATTCTCGCAGCCTCGCTGACATTCCAAAACTTATAAATCGTCGATCGATGCTGTGACCTCCGATCAAAACTGTAACCTCCGCCGATCAAATCTTTGACCGTAGCGATCATTTGAACAAAATAATCTAGTAGTCTATGGCATTCCAAAATCATTGAATGTATTATCAGTTGTATTTATATAATATTGTTATAAATGTTAAAAAATTTAATTATAGTACAGAATCGAACGGAACCGAACTGAATCGAACGGAACCGAACCCGAACGGTTCCATAATTATATTTGGACCCGACGGCTCCATTTACTAAATACCCAAAAATTTTGGGTCAGTTCGACTCTCTTTAGAACCGAACCGAGCCGACCCGCGCCCACCCCTATTTTGAAATATCTTGAAAAACAGCATCATCTTTTGTCTTCTTTTGAATAATTGATCCATCTTTTGAGAAGTTCCTTAAATTCTTCTCAACACTTTAAGCAACTTTTGACTAACTTTATAAAAGTAGAAATTTTACTTTAATAAAATTAATTTTGACAAATACATCTTGAAAAGAATGTCTTTTGATTTAGTAACCCGGTAATTTCTAAATTCTTCAAGAAAACTAGGTTCTTGTAATCATTTGATTCTTACAGCCTTCTCATGTGTAAGAAAATCATCATACCCTAAATCAATTAGGCCATCCCCATTGTCTGTCTCTTGAGAATTTTTATATTCTTGATCTGAGTTTTGAGTACTTGATTTTTTAGATCAAGTTTTAGAAATTTGTTCATAAATTTCTAATAATTTTTTCGGATCCTTGCATCTTGATAATATTGAAATAATCCTTTGTTTTTCAGTCAGAAAATCTAATTGATTTTCTTGTTCTTTTTTTGAGAATTTTCGGACTCCAAAATTTCTTTGTTTTTGAATTCATGATTGAACTGCTTTTGGACACCAATTTGTTTCTTTAAATTTGAACCACCATTTGACTTTGAATCTTCTAGTAATATTTTGAGTAAAGATTCATCATTTTGATTATGAAGCAGAAAGAAATCCCAGCAAAAGATTCAGGATACTTTCATATTGAAAGAAAATTAAAACAAAACATTCTCATAAGGCTTTAAAAACATTTTTGCCTCTCTTTTGAAGTATTCATATCCTTGAAGAGTAAGACTGGACAAAATTTTCTCTTCAAGTCCATGATACAGAAACCAAGTTTGAAACCATTTTGGAGAATGAGGATAACAAGAATGAACCATAATTGAGTAACAGGTCTAAAGAAAAAGAATCTGTACCAAGCATTCAAATAATCAAAATAATTAAAATATTCAAGAGTTGAAAATTTTGTTGAAGAGAGCTTGAGTCTCTTTTCTTCCCATGGGACTTGTCCCCGGTTTTCATAGGACAATGCCCTAAGGATATTGATTTTTGAATACATTGTTTCTGATTTATTTTGAGGAACTGGAGTATGAGAAATTATGGCTGATAGTTTCATAATAATCTAAGGATTTTTTGATATTTGATGGCATAAACCAGAAATTTTTTAGAAATATATTTGGAAAACATTCATCCAAGTTTGAGTATCTGTTAAGCCAAGATGTTTCCATATCAAGGTGATTTTCAAAGATACTTTTGGTGAAATATTGAAAATTTTGAGGTGGGTTTATTTGAGTAAGTTTTCCAGAACTTTGGACGGCTTTTTTGTAATTTGAAGGGGTAGCTTTTTCTTTGAGTTTATTTTGATCAGATTTTTTGATAAAGGTAGAAAGGGTATTTGAAGAAGATGAAGCTTCTTGAGCTTCTTTTCCGGAATGATCTTTTAAGAGATCATCCCGTCCTTCCCAAATACATCTCTCTCATGCACAAGCACAGTACGTCGTCAAATCTTCTTCAGCACAGCAACAAAATAGAAATCCTTAAAATTGCTTCTTGCCAACCATACAGGAAGGTGATTTCAACTTTCTTTGATTTTCTTCCCATTTTCCAATAAATGAATGCACTTCCCTAAATAAAAGTTTTCATATATAGCTTCCATGAAAACTATAAGTGCTTTGAGATCAATGGGAAACAGCTTCAAATTCATTCTGAGTAAGGGCCACTGTTCTACAGTTGTTGCAATGCTACTAAAGAACCCGTCTTTTAATTCTTTTGGAGGCTTTAAAACACAAATTTAGTTCAATTCTAATCCATCAGCAATCCAACAAATTGTCGGATCAATTTCCTTACTTAATCTCCATATCCATGCAGAAAAACGGTTAACATCAAAACAAAACAGAAAAATATATGAATACCATCCCCAAAAACATCCCAACTGAATATGCAAAATAAAATCATCCATAAAACCAACACATCATAAATCCAGTTCAATCTCTTCTAATGTACCACTGCATATGAACCAATTAACCAAACCCCAAGACAAATAAAACATAAAAAAGAACCACTGCATATTAAACAAACCCTACAACAAAAAGATATAAAATAGCGAATTCAGATTCAATACTTACATAAAGAGTTTGCTTTTCCGACAGACCTAGGGCGCGTACCAAGCCGATGCTCTGGTTTTCTGAAGCCGGGAAGCCATTACCAATGATGACGGCTCGCCGGATGACGCCATAAACCCCGCCCTCAAATATATCAGGTACTCCGCCAATAGATGGCGGACTCCCCGGCGGCTCGGGAAGCCTTATGGGCTTCATCAATAAATATGAGAAATGTATATACAAAATTGTTTATGTATGTTTACTCGTCGGAATTCAACTAAAACCCTAGAAATGATTTTCAAATTGGGATTTAATCGAAATTATGTATGTATAGCTGGACAAGTTGAGATTTTTATGAGATGGGGCGCTGCCTTGAACAAGCGCTAGCGGGTTGAACTACCTCTCCTCTCTCGTCGTCAAGTAAAATATGCTGCTTAAAGTTTTATTTTCACTTATACGGTACTTATTTGGAGAAGCTCCTAAGGTAACTTCGTTTGAGTTCTATTATTTCTCATTATATTATATTAAATTTATCTCTTTTCTACATTTAATCACATAATTTTTAATAAAATAATATTATATATAAATTAAAAACTTTTCAACCACTCATTTTTTTTAAAAATATATTATTCATTTCATTATAATCTACAAATATTGGAGCTCAAACGGGAGCGTATTTATAAGTAATTTGTCTTTTGCTTTTCAATTATTACAGTAATCATTTTTATACGACTATGTCACAACTTATCACGTGAAAATAACTACCGTAATCGTTGACTATGAATAGCATTATTCGCTATAAAAATGTAGTTTATCTTTATCTTGCTTTTAAATCCTACATTTTTCATTTATGAACAACATTTTGAAAATCATCAAAAATAAAAAAATAATAATAATAAATAAATAAATATTGTAAAACAAAATTTTTTGAGATGTATATCTTGTTTTGTTTAATTATAACTTTGCATATAATTAGATCAACCTAACACTTTGATTGTTTCCAATTGAATCCGCCTTTAACAACATTCCACATGCGACATTCCAATCTATTATATTTTGCAAACAAATTCTTAACTATTACTTCTAAATATTTCACACCCCAACTTACTAAAATTGTGAAACACCTGTGGTTACCATGGAATAATTGTGTACTAATTAGTAATTACTCTTAAAGAGTAAATATTTTATTAAACTTGTTGTTATTACTATTTTATTGCCACGCAAAAAATGTCAATCGTATTGAGAGGGTATGGTGTTGTTTTTGTTTCGTCAAATTTCATCTACATTAACTTTAAATCATATTTCAGCGTTATTTTTACTTAATATTTTAAATTTAAGCAACAATTAGTGTTTTTTAATTTATTAAAATTATATTATTAATTTAAAAATAAAATTACCTACTAGTATCAAAATTATACTGAATTCCAAGTAAGAGAGATTGAAGCATATTTCCCAGTATTTATGTACAAAATAAAGAAGAAACTGGCAACTATAATACAGTCGATGTTATCATGCTTTTCCATTACATCACTTGCACTGGCAAAATACGAATAGTTCAAAATGAACAAACTATTCAAATGACCAACCATGAAGCAACTGCAGATTCATCTGCATAACTTAAGATACATAAAGTAGAACCGTTCCTCGTACCTCGACAGATTATTTTGATCTACAGGACGGTAGAGTGATGCCCCCACAAGCAGCTGCGATTATAATGTACAGTAGCACGACAATCAAGCAAGTCAACAGGGCTCTGTCATGAATAAAAGTCAGATTTCAACGTCCATAGTAGAAGGAGAACCAAGGCTTTAAGTATTTAGACATTCAAGCAATTGTAAGATGGTTGTGGATAGTATATTAAGGAAAAGACTAAAGAAGCTAAAATACTATTTATTATACTGTTGAGCCCTGTCCAATACTGTATACTAAACATACTTCTACCAGAAGCCTACCAATTATCTTAATTGATATCTTCACAAGGAATAACGTGACAGGGAAAAATAGGCAAATTCTTCATTCTTAAGTGAGAGCATCTAAGAGCAAGCTGCAGGATAGAGTATAGAAACAACTCTTTGATGGCATCAAAGAGAGCTTTAAATTTCATGATAACATACTATTGCGGTTATTGCATTAGAATGATCTATAACTCCCGCATAGAAAACTTCATAACTTCGCATGTAAAAGAGACTTAAGTTTACAAATTTAAATGGTAAACAGGTTTTTATTTATTTTCAGGGGGAGTTTTACCAAACTTTCATTTCTAGCTCATGTTCAATCATATTACCCCTCAAGGTCACATACATATAGGGTTGGATCAAAGCCCAACCAAAATCGAACCGATTGAACCAACCCGAACACGTTTGGGTCGATTTAGTTCGGTCCTAAATAACCCAAGGCAAAGTCATGGCACGAAATCTTGAGAAATCCTGGCTCAACACCACAACTACCTACCAATCCTCCACCACAAAAATAGCCCCTCCACTGCCATCACCATCCCATCACCACCGGCATAAACGTGAAAAACCCAATCTTACAAGAAGAAAGGGGGGAAACCCACAAAATTCATATATTATATGAAATGTATCACATTTTCAATAAATGGTCTCCAACTTCACTTCTCTAGTTTTCAATCCGATTTCAACTTCCCGACATTGCGTCAATGACAAAAGATGGAGAAAAAAGCTGAATTTCAAATATGCTCTCATTCGATCTCATAGTGGACGGTGGTGTGAGGGGTTTGTACTAGTAGTGGTGGACGGACTCACAGTGGTGTCACCAACTTTGAGTAGAGAGAGGAGAGAGAATAGAGAGGGGTTTAGGATGAGAGAGGAGAGAGAGGTTATATTGTTTCTAAAAAATAAAAATAAAAAATGACCCAACCTGACCACCAATCGAATTTTTGGGTTAGGTCCAAGCCCAACCTGAAAATCAAACCGAATGGGCTTCAAACCAACCCAAAATGGGTTGGGCGGTTTGGTAGTTTCATGGGTATTTTGCAGTTATAATGGACACGCGGTCCAAATGCTGATATGTCTAAATGCTAATAAGTTTAATGTTAAACTCAACTACAATTACTTCTCAAAGTACCGAAGGACAAAAATCAGCTATGATGCACCGACACGGACACGTGTGTCCGACACGATACGTGTCAGATATGTCGACTCGTGATTTTTCAAAAAAGTATCGACACGACACGTCGTCGACACGTTCATTAAATGTTTAAAATTCTTCATTTATATAGTTTAAATTTAGTTTTATACTTATTATTGATTCTTTTTTGTTGAAATCTTTTAAATATGAGTACTTATTTGTTATTTACTAAAAACTTTAAGTTAAAAATATATAATAGTTATAGTAAGAAAGGAAAATTATTATTGTATAATGTCCGAAGAGTGTCGGTATCCACACGTATCCGACACGTGTCGGACACGGACATGCTACCCTAGTTAGAGTGTCTCTGCTACATAGGAAATCAGTGAACAGATTCAATCAAAAGGTCAATTCCTAGGACATTGTGCATATATAATATATCGAATATAAGCAGGGACGTGTTAGTTACTACATTCAGCATTCCCGTCCATGAATGTCTAATCATTTCCATGTATCACTATCCTTTTCCCTCAGTAGTTTGTGTAGTCAAGTAATAATTCTAATAAGTCTTGATGGGGAGACTGACACCAAAACAAGTGGACTATCCTACTACATCTCCCACCTAACTATTGACTGAATCCTCAAAGTTTGTACGTATCCAGCTATGGCGAAAAACAATTAAATATCCTCATATTAATCATATCAATTGTCTCAAACTTTCTGTTCATCATATAAAGCTCTATTAGGTTGTATGGAATCTTGTGAAGGAAATTAATTCAGTGTAATATAAATAAAAAGGAATGAAATTAAACCCAGTGATCACAGCTTGGGCGATAAAGTTCAAAAAATTAAATTCTCCAAAATACAAGATTAAAGAGAATGTTCGAAGCTCTACACACTTTCACAGTACTATATAGCTTGGGCATTTGCTATTTTGCTTTTACGAACTTTATAATTTTTAAAGATCACTATTGAGTCATACAAGGTTCAACTTAAATAGAAGGTTATTAAAAATACTTACAAGAGCTTGGCATTTTTCATCCACAGAGCTCGACGAAGGCGCTTCGACTGTTTCTTGAAGTGAAATGCACCATCTTGCATGGTTGCTGTTTTGTCAACAAGAAGCTCAATCCGGTCACCTCTTTCTAATATCTTGTCAATGTTATCCACCATAATTGTGCGTACCTGAAGACCATGTTTCAGGTGTTAGGTTCAACAATATCATACGAAGGATAGAGCAGCAAACGCTCCTTGAATTCTAACATTACTCCAAAGATAGGAGCCACTTTTTAACATTTTTTACAATAATTTTATATATATGACTTTTTCCAGTTCGCACTAAATGATATGCGAAAATAATAGAAACAACACGGATTAGAAATTGTTATACTGAAACATGATTCCTACTTACAACATATACACATATCATTTTATAGCAAAGAAGCTGAGGATTCTCGTTGAGCCAAAAAAAAAAAAGAGAGAGAGAGAGACAAAAAAAACTGAGGCATCTCGATTTGCTTCACCAACATAATAATAAAAGAGCATTTGACTTCATCCCCATTTAAATTTTGATGTTCATAACTCTGGCTTATATTTCTTTCACCAGTTGAATTCTAGCCCTCACCATTTTAAAACCTGAGGCAGTTGCTAGCCCGGACTCTGGTTTATTATAGTCAAGAATTTCTTAGAGCTGGATATTTGATCGTTTAAATTTATGCTTCAAAAGTACAAAAGAATAAGGGCATATCATACATAAAACATGTCAAAAGGAGTACAGAGTGATCATTCAGAATATTTAATTGAGGACAAAGATAGCATCAGATAAATTAAAAGTTTCATCCTGAAACACATGGCAAAACCTTCAAGAAAATACTCAACTACAAACGCTTTATAATCACAGATGGCCACACAAAAACTTAAAGCAAACTGCAAGAATTAAAATGCCCACACAAATGCAGCAAAAACCAAGAAATATACAGTAATATTTATCAGTTCTCACTATATACAATATACATTGAACTTCCCGATGAATCATGTAATTAAGATCTTATACATAAACATTTTGATGACATAAAGTTATTTTCTTTTTTCAGTCCTGTTTATTTTCTATCTCTGGGGAGTCAGATAAAAGTGAAAAAGTAATCTTGCCTCGCTAACTTCTCCTCTGACACGGTTGAGTGTATCTGCACTAGGATTACTTGAGAAAAACTCCATTTGCTGATGCAAGACCCTTGAGAATTCATCATTCATAGCGTAAGCAGGAGCATAAGGAGCCACTTTTCCATAGTTTTTCATGAATCGCATCTGAATATCCTCCAAATATGAGAACGGGATTCTCCCTGGATAAAGTTGTCAAAATTCAAGTTGAAATATACAGAAGAGAAAAGAGGAAGGATTATTACGCACAAACATTAAAATTTTACTTCTAAGTTGGAAGGTAAAAATCCAATAAGATGTACATCCTCACAGAATGCAATGCTAAAGCACATTGATAGAGTCTAAACATCTCAAATCCTCCATTTACGAATAGAGCTCAGGATACAAAAGATTGGAGATAAGATCCTAGAAGCATGTATAGGAAGAATAAAAAGATTGAGGCTTCCTTATATTAAGAAATCCCACTGCAAGAAGAGAAGTGTGGTATACCAATGGTAAGTTATGCAGTGATATATTTCACCTATGATTCAGGAAAAGAAGTTATTAGTGGAATGAGGATATTCTATCAAAAGTTCAATTAATTCCCTCCAGTCCTTGACCCCGTACTTTTGTCTGAACAACCAAAATGTTGGCTTCCGTTTCTAGATCTTTTGTACAATTCATCAGAGAATTCTGACAAAATCCAAAGACCAATGCCTCCTACGGGGATTAGCAAAATCCGGCAAATTGAGTTTATAACAGTCTTCTACAAACCAATGTATGTTAAATAAATTTTGTGATCTATAAATGTAAGAGTACTCTTAGTTCAGAAAAAAATTGTGGTTAAAGCCACATTCTTTAAAAAAAAATGTGTACACAAGAATGAAAAAGGAAAAGTAGCAAGAGAGTTATTTTGGCCAAATTTGGAGAAAAGAAAAAATAAGAAAAACAGATTACACTATGAACATTTGCTACTGGAGATCCATTTCACTGTCAAATTGTTGTAGAACACCAGAATATGTGTACAGTGAACTAATCCACAACTTTCAGGTTTTTCTAAACACTAACCCATTCCATAGAACACTTGTTTCTGAACACAATCCCACAAGGATGCCTTATGCCGTATTGAAGCCAAGAGTTGTGTGGCATATAAATTGGATCTTTCTCTTCGTAAGTCATAGACAAAAAGCTAATAAGACTTCAAAAAATTGACATATGAGAAAAACCCCCAAGAAAATAGAGTTACCCCTTTGAAATTATGATTTCAACCTTAAAATTTAAAACATCCATCAAAGATGAAAAGCTAAAATAGTAAGATTCTGCATAGCAGCACACAACTTGTGCTCACAGGAAAACCTCAAATGACCAACAACAAGCAGAATATCAGGCCTTAATACACTAAACTGTAAACAAACATTCAACAAACGCGCATGAACACGAAGTTATACAGATACAAAAAGCTCAAAATTTAATTTCCCTTTTTTAATTGGAATAGTTCTTACTTCCGAATGTATCGTTGGCCATACAGAGGAAGGTGAGTCCATCCGATCTAAGGATGTGGAAGATGTACCGATCCTGGGAGAAGCATAGTCTCGACTCCTCCTGCTCCGTCTCCGACAGCTTCTCCAGTATCCGCCGCGCCACGGCAGGTGCGTTCCCCGTCACGGCGCTGAACTCCGCCAGCACCGTCGTCCCACGCGCCACTACCCCATATAGGATTGCCATCAAAATATTGTTGTGTATAATTACAGTGGAATTTGAGGTCACAAAAATTACGATATATACACTCGATTAGGTTTATAAGTTTGATATTATTGATAACTGGATCTTCTTCCCCGAGGCGAGGGGACTGGAGGGGTGGGAGAAAATTGAACTGAAAGAAGAAACAAGAGTCTTTGGGTGTCACGCGGCACAAGCCAGAAAATCAGTCCAATGGAGGCCTGATAGCGTGACAGCAGGTTACTTGAACGTTTGTCTAATTACATTTTAAAATAAATAATTTTGTTATTGCCTAAAAAAAAAATTCACTGTAATAGTTTACTTAGAAGTAAACAAGTAACTTATTTAAAAAGTAACTTACGTAAACATATTTGGGTTAATTGTACTAATGACTGGAGTAGTTATACTTTTGCCACATGTATAATCAGGTCATTAGAATTAAATTGACAGCAATTGAATAACTTATATGATGTTAGTTATGGTTTCATTGGTGGTAAATTGAAGCGATCTAACTGTTGCTATATAAATAAGGTGAAAACTTGTTACTATCAATACGATTAGCTGAAATATATTTAGAAACAAAAATAATTCTCTCCTTTCTAAGCTTGACCAAACACGATTAATAACTTTACATATTTAGAAACAAAAATTTACATTAGCAAAACAACCGGTTACATTTAAAGGCTTCTGTAATAGTTGTTAAGTGCATATGAAAAGTTAGTCGAAGCTTCAAAGAAAGGAGAGAAAAATATAAGGAGTGATGAGTTTCATTTCCATATTAACAACAATACAGTAATGGATCAAGGGAAGTGATGAAATATAAGAGCAAGCTTGTGACGCCCCGAACTTAAGTTTCAAGTGTCACGTACAAAACATAATAGCTTCTGTCTTTGGTACATTTAAATACTCTTAAATAGAAGTATTACATGTTAGAAACTTATTTTCAACTTGGTAAAATGTCTCTCATAAATTTTTAATGGCCCGCAAAAGCGCATGTCGACAAGAAATTATACTTTACATATACGGACTCTGCACTGTCATGGTTAGTTGGGGCAACAAGTTCAACTATTTTTATAAAATTCATCCCAACTCCGTTTTCTATGAATTTTACGACATTAGAAAGATATTTTCAAGTAGTTTTCTAGGTTAAAATATAAAAATTTCCAAGATCATATAATATGGGCATTTTACTGAAAACGGTGAGGTATTGCACAGAAATTTCAGATTTGACCCTTCAACGTTTAAAAATTCATATATCAGGCTACAGATATCCAAATTGAGTGATTCTTGTGCCCATATTAAGACAACTCAATGAGGAACGCAGTAATATTTTCAGATTCTCGAATGGACGTTTATGAAGATAAAAATAACGTGTTGAATTTGACCCAAAAACTGTCCCGTTTCTACCTTTTGTCACTTGCAAGGAGAAGTTTAAAAAAAAAAAGGTCTCTTAACACAACATAGAAGATATAATTGCATAATTTACTTCCGATACCATATTACATCATGTCTCATACATGTTTTTATACAATACCATAAGAAACATATGGAAAGCAATCGAACAAAACATGCAAAAACAAAACTTCGATGCAAAACAACATTGTCCCTAACCCATCATCGATTATGCCGACTGACTTCCACCAACTCCGCAATTATGAATCTGAGAATTTAGTATAGAACACTATGAGTATAAAGAATACTCAGTAAGATACCATGCTTGAATTTTAACATGTTAATACTACACAAAAGAATGCAATCAAACACATACTTGCACATTCCGGCTTGCCGATGCCTTTCGGATTTGTCCTAAGGCATAAATAGATATCTAACTTTGTGGACTTATCCACCACATTCATATTACGGTTTTTCATGCATAGTTTAAGTATAAATATTACCATGAAATCATACCACTTAAGCATAGAAAGTATCTTACTATAAAACTTGAAGAAATCTTGGTTGAAAATGAATTGAGAAATGCTAGGCTGGTCCTCTTCTTCCCTCACGTTTTCTGCCCTTTTTTAAACAAGTGTTAAGTTGTTTTTCATGCAAGGGAAATAAAGGGCAGCAACACATCTATTTATAGGTGAGAAAAATGATAAATTTTGGGTGACTCTTCAAAAAATTCGACATGTGTAGGCTGCATGGTTTCACTTTCTTAAATTTAAAACACCTCATGCATTAGTTAGTCACCTCATGTTTAAATTTAAAACACCTCATGCATTAGTTAGTCACCTCATGCTTAATGTTTCATCAATTTTCGGCCAAGTTGGAGGAACAATGTTTAACTTTAGTAATTAGGTGTAAAATGAACATTTATACCAAAACCCCCTAATTAACAAATTATTTGGAAAAACTTTTAATAAATCAACCAATGCAAAATTTGGCAACCATAAATAATTTTTTGGTCATACTAAATTTTGAAAAGTTAAATTGCTATTCTAAAAATTAAATGAGCACAAAATTCGGAGTATTACGAAGCTTACATTATTGAACGCGTGCAAATAAAAGCTCATGGGGGACGTGACCTTTATGTTTGGAAACCTAGTAAAGATGGTATATTCTCAACTAAATTTGGTTGGGAAGTGATTCGTAGAAAGGGTATGCCTTGTGCATAGAAACGTTGGCTGTGGTATAAACGAGTCCCTAAAAGAATCTCGTTCGTATCCTGGAGGGCTCAATTGAATTGCTTACCAGTTGATGATGTGATCTAGTCCATTGGGATTCCATTGGTGTCTAAATGTGAATGCTGTGAGAATCCCTTAGTTGAAACTATTGATCATGTCTTGTGTAATGGGGAGGTGGCTGCGAAGGTTTGGTCTTACTTTGAAGTTCACTTTAATCTATCTCTACGATATGGGTCATCTTGGAGAGGCAGAATGAATTTATGGTGGACACATGCCACTGGCTCATCACAACTCGGAGTTCTTCGGGGAATTACACCTCTCATTACCACATGGGCTCTTTGGAAGTTTAGATGTGGGGCACACATGGAAGGCTCACCCATCATTTGGCAAAAAGTTGTTTGGTCTATCAAAGCTTTTTTATCCCAAGTTGCTAGCCTGATAACTAATGTCTATAAAATATCAGATCGTGATATTCACTGTTTGCAGTCCTTAAATTACCCTATTGTTGATATTAAGCAGTCAATAGTGCAAATGATAAGTTGGAAGAAACCAATGAGCAAACAGTTGAAATTAAACGTTGATGGTGCATCAAAAGGAAATCCTGGTTTAGCTGGCGGAGGAGGAATTCTACGTGACTCAAATGGAACATCCTTGGCTGGCTTTTCTCATCACTACGGTTCATGTACGAATATGGTGGCTGAAACTCGTGCTCTTCTTGATGGATTGCGTATGTGTAGGGAGCTTGGGTTATGGGATATTGTTGTTGAAACTGACTCGAAAGTCTTGGTCCAATGGGTGCAAAGAGGTGCTTGTTCCTTATGGTGGCTTTGGGAATATTGGGAAGATATTATGAAGTTGACTCAGTTGCTCAATGCCCAGGTTCATCATGTGTTTCATGAGGCCAATATGGCGGCCGATTTTCTGGCAAAAAAGGCAAGTGGTGGTCCTTCTTATGATTTCTTTCTTGGTGACGAGGTTCCGACTCTTCTTAGAGGGATATTGCATACAGATCGTTGGGAATTGGCTTACCTTAGACGTTGATGTAGTCTATTCTTTTGATGATTGTATTATGTAATAACGGTTTTACTCCGCCACAAGTGAGGTTTTCTCAATAAAATATTTTTACTTCAAAAAAAAAATAATAATAAATAAATATATATATATATATATATATAAGAGCAAGCTTTTATTGCTTTCTATATTAATTGATATAAGTACAAGACAACTGAACAAACAAGGAAATAAAAGAGCAAAGAAACTTATTATATTGATAGCTTAATAATGACAAAGCCAAACACATGATCAATTAAGGTACACCAATAATGGGAATAAATGGAGCATAATAGCTAGTTGGTGCAATCCCCCATTCTCTTGGCACAGGCAGATCCACAGTCTTGGATGAACCAAATTCCATGTTCTTGGTTACACATTTCCCATCATAATTTCTTGAGGAAGGGCATGAATTGTAGAAATTGAGAGGCTCAGAAGTGGAATAAAACTTGACCCCATTTGGCTTAACAATCATGGAAACTGAGTCTTTTCTTGAAGTATAGAGTTGATGAGGACCTCCTAGTATTTTGGCCAGACAGTTGAGAGAATTAGGCGGAGTCCAGCCATTTGATGGAAGCTCGGCGTCGAAGGTGCCATCTTCTTGCGTGGTTGCGATAGCCAACTTCTTCACTTTGTCACATTTCACTAAGACTTGAATACCTAAGGAAAAAGATGGAGAAGAAAGGGTAATATGGAAGATGCATAAAACTAGAATAGGAATAATGTAGTCAATCTAAATTTAGAAAAATATTTTGTTGATTCCTATGTACCATTTTTCCCCCTTTTCTTTCCGCTATACAATTCTTAACTTTGCATAAAATAGATACGACATATGATTAAACTAACTAAAAGAACCCTATAAAAATATATTAAAAGTTGACTCTTTAAGTCGTAAGAGAGACGAGTAGACCATAATTAACACATCCTGATGTACATAGTTGCTAAGAAATTTAAACGAGAGCATAAATTGAACAAACCAGAGAGATCCGAATGAGGTTTGCAGTCGAGGCAAGTAACCGATCCCTTCACGACATGGCTCGTGGAGAGGTCAAAACTAGCAAGAACCAAAGTGAGGAACAGTGCAACTATAACTTGGCATTTCTCCATTGAGCTATGTGTATACAGAGTGAAGAAAACATTGCAAATACTTCCAATAAATACTACAAAATCAGGCTAAGAAAAGTAAATGAATAGCCTTTAGCCAGAATAGTTGGTGGTGTTAATAAAGACATCCAGTTGAGGTTTTTCCGGAATTAATTGACCGAAATTTCAATTAATCAGTCATTTTGAAATTTAAAAAAAAAATTAATAATACATACATAATACATATTATTTAGTCGTTCCAACATTATTCAACCCCTACGTGAAAATATTGGCTCCAATAATTACATGTCAACGGCCAAAATAATTGAACATAGTATAGTATAAACTCAACAAGTATATAACAACATATTTGAAGGAGTCACAAGAGACTTTATTTATAGTTACTAAAAATCCCACGTAAAAAAGTCGTGTTTAGACTAAACTAATATAGAGCCGTATTAGAA